AAAATAAGAACCAAGATGCATCATGTAAAGGTACAATTCCCAATGAGAAATGTAATTGTGTTGTATACCTACAATGTACCAATAAAAGAATTTAAGAAAGGAAAAAAAAAAAAGAATGCTCCCTGGACTGGGGAGCTTGCCAGCTTGCAGGCTATGATGGCCCAGAGGCCTTGAGTGGGCACCAAGAGCCATGTCCTTGCCTTGGATGAATAAGGTCTCTGGAGAAGTGTCTTTGTGTTCTAGCTCAGAGCAGATGCCAAGGAACCACTGCCTCTAAGAACCGATACCCTTGAGAGGCCCACTACCTTGGAGATGGTAGGCAGCCCCAGGCTAAGAGGAACAGGCCACATGCCAAGGTCCAGCAGGGAGGCTGACCACATAGGACCCTTCTCCTACCCCACCACGCCCCTGGCTCACAGGAAGGCCAAGCCCAGATGCTGAAGACAAAGAGGGTGCCCTGGTTGTGGGGAGGGAAGCCTGAGTCATGTCCTCCCAGCATCTGAGTGTGAGGGTCCTGCCTGTCACCTCTACCCCGCAAAGCCCAACAGCTTTCCATCCACCAGGCACTGGGCATTGAGCATCAAGCAGGTCACTTCATGTGTGCAACCTGGACCTGCAGAACTAGGTAGGCCAAGGAGAGTGGGGAAGGCCAGACCAGCCACACAGACCTTATCCAAGGGAGCAGCTGCAAAACAGCCCCCAGCATGTCTAAACTGTCTAGACAGGATTCCCCAGACCACTTCCTCATTTTTTTTGTTGTTTTGCAGTAATGAAATTTGAACCCGGGGCCTTTGCCCTAAGCGATATCCCCAGCCCTTTGTACTTTTTATTTTGAAACAGAGTCATGCTAAGTTGCTAAGCTGCCCGAGCTGGCCTCGACCTTGACATCCTCCTGACTCAGCCTCCCAGATTACTGGGAATACAGGCATGCACCACTCTACCTGCTACTTCTTCATTTGGGCCACATTCAGCCCATGAGCTGTCAGTGGCTTTCACAGAATGGGGACTGGGGAGAGATGGGAACAATGACGTGGACTTCAGGCCTAGAGGGTGCCAGAGCCACAGTGAACTCTATCCATGTCCGACAACTCCATTCCACTATCATCCCTGCTGTGCAGGAGGGCCTGGCCTGGCCCAGGCTTGATCTTCATCAATCAAGATCCAGTGGGGCCGGGGATTTAGCTCAGTGGTTTCACCACCTGCTGCGCAAGTACAAGGACCCGAGTTTGATCCCCAGTACCAAAAAAACAAACAAACAAAAAAAAACAAAAACAAGATCCAGTCACTTGCTCTGGCCTATTTCATTGATGGCAGGAAGGTAACATGTCCCTAGACCATAGAAGGACAAAGTGATTTTTAGACACTGGTCCAAGCCTGAGCCCCTGGACAGTCTGGTCCTGGCTGTGGGGAGCTCCCAGCAGGGTCTCTGCCCCCTGTCCTGGAACCTCTTGGAGAAGGATCTAGGTATGTGAGCCCAGGGCCACCCAGGTATTGTCCCCTCCCCTCTGCTCCTCCTTACCTGACCCCTTTGCGCAGTAGAACTGTTCCATTCACTGTTCCCTTCCTGGGGTTACTAGGACTCCCCTGCTGACAGAGAGGTCAGGTGGCTGCTATGGTAGGAGGGCTTTGAGAACAGAGTTCCCTGTGGCGTCAGTGTGTTTGCTACATTCCAATGAACCCAATGCAGCCGTCCATTTCCAGGGCTGTGTGTTCTCAGTGATAGCAGCCTGCCTGGGGGCTTACCAGTGTGAGCGTAAGACATTCAGCAGCAGGATGACGCCACCCAGAAAGTAGCACGCCAGGTATGGGGATCCGAAGGCACTGCTCAGTTTTCGGGTTCTCTGCTCCCATCTTGCAACCTGCACCCAGCGAAGAGAAGAGAGTGAGATGTTAAGTGTGCAGGAGAGCTGGGGCAGGATGAGGTGAGCAAGTCTCTGTGTTCCCAGGATCCAGCCCCCGGTGCCAAGTAAGAGCCACATGGGACACCTGGTGTGTCACCTCCAGCAGCCAGTTCCACCTCCAACCAGGGCCTGTGAGAAGCAAGTGCAAACCAAATAACCATGAGCTCATGAAGGAGTATGGCTCTATAACAGTGACGGCGAACCTTTTAGAGACTGAGTGCCCAAACTGCAACCCAAAACCCACTTATTTATTCCAAAGTGCCAATACTGCAATTAAACTTGAATACTGAGGTTTTAGTTTAAAAAAAAACAAACTCATACAACTTGTGACATCATCATAGAGAGTGCTCTGCATGTTCACTGCAGCACGGGTGCCACAGGTTTGCCACCACTGTTCTAGACCAACACATAAGAAGTCATTCCAAAATCCAAAAGAGTCCCTTCACACAATTCCAAAAGGGCCCCAGCAGACAAGAAGCAGGAAGCGAGGTACACCAAAGGAAAGCCTGAAGCATGGCTGACATCACAAGCCCAGCCCAGGTCCAGACCTGCTCCTGCCACCACTGGGAACACCCACAGTGTCCATCCCAGGGGAAAAACTAAAGAAGGGAAGCCCCTCACCCCCAGCAGTGCCCCGTCCAAGCCCTTCCCCAAGCCACTGATTTCCAATTGTGTAACTTTTAGACACAGAAGCCTTTTACCAACTAATCACATTTGGACTTCCACATCCAGCAGCTAGCAGTGGAGAGAAGCAGGCAGGCAGCTCTCAGGCCTCTTCAGTAGCTCCCTGCACCCTAGTTCCCTGTCAGCATGTTCCAGTCAGGGTGCACACTTCCCTGGGGGGCTCCCACTGTGGCACCTGGCCCAGTGCATGGTGAAAATGCACAGATGAAAGGAAGGAGAGGGAGGGCAGGCAAGAAGGGTGCAGAATGACAAACTAATGACATGAGCTGGTCACCTCTGTAGGCCCTGAAAATCCATACCTACATATATGTGCATATAGAGATAGCCCCCAACTTATGGAGTGCTTCAACTTAAAAATTCTCAACTTTATGACAGTACAAAATAAATGTGCTTTCAGTAGAATCTGTCCTTTAACTTTTGAAGTTGGCCTTTTCCTGGGTCAGAGTTACGTGGTACAGGCTTCTCTCATGATGGTGGGCAGCAAGCCACAGCTCTAGGTCAGCCCTGAGAGCACAAAAGCAAACAACTGAGACTGCACTGCACTGTGTGGCCAGCCTTTTGTGAATACTGGTATTCAGTAAAGTACATGAGCTATTCAATACTTCATGATAAAATACACTTTGTTGGATGAGTCTGCCCAACTGTGGGCAAATATGAGTGTTCTGAGCATGTTTAAGGCAAGCAAGGCTGGGCTATGATGTCAGTAGGTTAAGCCTGTTAAATGCATAGACTTACTTTCAATTTACAATGGTTTATTAGGATGTGACTCCCTTGTATGTAGAGGAGCATCTGTTAGGAAGGATCATGAAGGCCTCCTCAAGTGCTGAGACAATAGTCCTGGGGACACTGATACTGTAGTCCTGGTGACATCAGAGCCAGAGGAGCCATTTGTCACCATCCCAGTCCCCAAGGCTCCTATCTGGTACCCAGCCCTGTTTCCCAGGTGGACTGGCCTTTCCCCAGGAGTTAAACAACCAGGGAGTGGAGACCAGTTCCAGGCCCTACAGAAGTGTTGGCCCAAGGCCACTGCCTTCATCTCCCAGGAGGCAGCTGCTCAGTGAATCCCAGAGCCCGCCCTAGGCCTGTCCTCAGAACTCCTGGGAGGTGGCACTAAGGGCAGGGTGGGTCAGTTGTTTTACGGGGGGGGGCCTCCTTCCCGGGCCTTCCCTTCAATCAGCTGTCGGCACAGCTGCCAGCTGTCCTGGAAAGTAAGCAGCCCTTTGACCTATCTGGCAATGGCCTCTGTGGACCATGGACCAAGTGGAAGCTCATCCTTCTCAGAAGGAGGAAGAGAAGAACTGGAAGGCCTGAGAGAGGTGCAGGGTGCTGGAGTGTAGGCAGGAGTCCACAAGGTCTAGCCTGCAGGGGACACTGCAAGGCCCAGGGCCATAGACCTTACACTACTTAGGGTCATTTCATATTTTTAAAAAAAATTTTTTAGGCTGGGGATTTAGGTCAGTGCTGCTGCCACCTGCCTTGCCAATGCAGGGTCCTGAGTTCCATCCCTGGTACCAAAAAAAAATTATATAAAACTCAAAATGATTTTTAGTTGTGTAATCATTACCATGACCTCATTCCAGAATACTTCTATCACCACAAAAAAGACACTGTCCCCATCAGTAGTCACTTCCCATTTCTACTCCCCAGGCCCTGGCAACCACCAGTCTGCCGTCTCTATGGATCTGCTATTCTGGAATGTTTCATAAGTGGAATCCTAAAATATGTGGCCTTTTGTGTCTGGCTTCTTTCACTTTGCATAATGTTTTCAAGATTCATCCATGTTACAGCATGTATATGTACTTCATATTCTTTTGGGGGGCTGATTATTATTCCATTATATAAAGATATCACATTTTGTCTCAATCAGCTGCTGATGGACATTTGGGTTTATTTATTTGGCTATTATCAGTAATGCTGCCATGAACATGCATGTCCAAATTTTGTGTGGACATGTGTTTTCATTTTTCTTGGGTATATACCTAGGAATGGAATTGCTAGGTCATATGCTAAGTCTGTTTGTAATTTACTGAGGAACTTCCAAATGTTTTCCACAGTAGCTGTGTCATTTTACAAGGAGTCTGGTTTCTCCACATCCTCTCTAACACTTGTTATGTTCCACTTTTTAAAATCATAGCCATCCTAGCAGGTATGAATATCTTTTCACACACTCATTGCCATTTATATACTTTCTTTGGAGAAATACCTTTGGAAAAATGTCTTTTGTCCATTTTAAAAACTGGATTTATTATCTTCTTACTGTTGAGTTGTATGCATTCTTTATATATTCAAGGTATTAAAAGTCTATCAAATACATGATTTATAAACATATTCTCCCATTCTATGCGTTTTCTCTTTGCTTTGTGAATAATATCCTTTGAGGGCCAGGGATTTAGCTCAGTGGTTCCAGCACCTGCCTCACAAGTGCAAGGTCCTGAGTTTGATCCCTGGTACCAAAAAAAAAAAAATCCTTTGATGTACAAAACTTTTTTATTTTCATCTGGCACTTATTTGTGTCTTTTAAGATTAACCCAAATTGGTGACTAAGATGCTGCAGAAGCCGGGGCCCAGAGGCGCCCAAGGTGCAGACTGAGCAACATAAGCCAAATTTATAGCTCTACTGTTCTTTGGAACAGAGGGGTTGAACAAAGTATAAACCAAGAAGGACTCGGCCAGAAGCCAGAAGGAAGTTCCGCTGCCGCCATCCCAAGCTCCTAGGGCAGAGAAGCTGAGCC